GGGGGGTGGGGGGGGATGGTGGATGGTAGCGGGTTTTCCGTGATGTATGTATGAGATTACTTGATAGGGGGTCCTGGAAGAGGTGATAAGGGGGCAGGTGATAGGGGGGTCCCTTGGAGAGGTATGGGGGAGGGGGGTGATAGGCGCGTCAATAAAGAGGGGAGGGGGGATACGTGGTTAGGGGGAGCACTGGAATGTATGGGGGGGCATGACAGGCTGTCACTGGAGACAATGGGGGGGGGGGGGGAGATGGTGTGGATGGTTAGCGGGTTTCCCGTGATGTATGTATAAGATTACTGTGATAGGGGGAGTGACGGAGGTCCCTGGAGAGGTATGGGGCGGGGGGATAGAGGTGACGGAGAGGTCCCTGGAGCGAGTTTATGGGGGGGGGTAGGGTGAGGAGGGGATTCCTGGAGATGTATGGGATGGAGGGAGGGTGAGGATGGTCCCCTGGGGAGAGGTATGGGGGTAGGGGAGGTGACGGAGGGTCCCTGGAGAGGTATGGAGGGGGAGGGACAGGACGGAGGGGTGGGAGGGGGATGACGGAGTCCCTGAGAGAGGTATTGGTAGGTGACGGAGGGTCCTGGGATGGGGGAGGGGAGGTGAGGTCCATGAGAGGTAAGGTGAGGGTGACTGGGTCCTGAGGTATGGGAGGGGGAGGTGACGGAGGGTCCCTGGAGAGGTATGGGAAGGGGGAGGTGACGGAGGGTCCCTGGAGAGGTTATGGGAGGGGGAGGTGACGGAGGGTCCCTGGAGAGGTATGTGACGGAGGGTCCCTGGAGAGGTATGGGTAGGGGGAGGTGACGGAGGGTCCCTGGTGAGGTATGGTGAGGGGGAGGTGACGGAGGGTCCCTGGAGAGGTATGGGTAGAGGGGGAGGTGACGGAGGGGTCCTGGGAGATGGTATGTGACGGAGGGTCCCTGGAGAGGTATGTGGGAGGTGACGGAGGGTCCCTGCGAGGTATGGGGGGAGGTGACAGAGGTGTCCCTGCAGAGGTATGGGGGGAGGGGGACAGAGGGTCCCGCAGAGGTATCTGGGGGGGGGAGGTGATAAGTTGTGTCCCTGGAGAGGTATGTTGGGGGGGGGGTGACAGAGGGCCCCTGGAGAAGTATGGGGGGAGGTGACAGAGGGTCCCTGGAGAGGTATGGGGGGGGAGGTGATAAGTGGTCCCTGGAAAGGTTATGGGGGGGGGGGGGGAGGTGATAGAGGGTCACTGGAGGGGTATGGAGAGGGGTCACTGGAGAAGTATGGCTTTATTTGAGGCTGCTGCGGGGTGACGTGATGTATATGCTGCTCAGGAACTAATGAAAACCTTGCAAAAAGGTTTTTTTTTTGAGCCCCAGCCCCCCACACACACGTTAGAGAGAAACATTGACTGCTGGCTACGTTACTTATCTTCTCACACTGCAGAGTAGGAGCAATATTTTCGCCCAGTTTTTTTATTCATGGTTACCTCTAAACGGATGACCTGTAGGAGATATTGAAGCATCTCTTATGGGAGAATTTAGGGTACTGAAATTTGTCGCCGTTTTCATGGCTGGCATGCAACTTTAAGGCTCAGGCATGGTTGGGCGTCTATTTGCTCGGGTACATCCTCATCTTTTAGATTTTACACAAAAAAAAAACAACAAAAAAAAACATATATATGGGAAAACATATAGTTTCATGCTCTATGATTAACCCTATTGTATATTTTTACTGAAATTTTGGAGCTTGATAAGACTGTTGCGCTAATATCAAGTTGGCATAAAAAAATTGGAACTACCTTTATTTTATTCTCCAGGATCTTGCTTCCAGAAAATATATAATGTTTGTTTTGGGGGTTTTTACAGAATCTTCAGCCTAAAATTATTCTTTTAATGTGTGTGCAATAAATGCAGATATGGCATTTGGCAGCAGAAGGGTTAGTAGGACAAACCAAAAAGTGAAGTTGGCTCCTTTAAGGCTAGTTGGGGGGGTCACATGGGACTGTCAGATCCCCTCCATGTTCTTCCTGAAGGTGGAAATGATAGTACCCCCCCCCCCCTTTTTGTTGAGAGTGCAGGTGGTACACTTTCACATATCACTGCTGCCTCTTCATTTGAGGACATTATTATACCTTCACAGCATTTCAACCTTTCGGTAGTCGCAGCCTTCTTGTCTTGCAAGCGTCACCTCCAGCAGCTCCTCCTTCCACAACCTCCGCCTGATGTAAGAAAAACCTGTTTATTTAGATAAAGATGGACAATTCCGGTTTGTTCAAAAAACAGTAAATGTAAAATGTATGGGTAGTGAAGGTTTGGGGGGTTATTGGAGAGGTATTGTTTGGAGGGGGGGGGGGGTGGGAGGGGGGGGGGGGGGTAAGTCATGGAGTAGGAATAAGGGAAAGGGGGGGGGGGGGGGATCAATGCAGGGATATGGGGGGATTTAAGTGAGGGACTATGGGGGGGGGGTAACCTGGATGGAAATGGGGTAGGGGGGGGGGTAGGTCACTGGACTAGGAAATGATAAAGGGTGGGGGAGGGGGGGGGTCACTGAAGTGATATGGGGGGTAGGGGGGGTAGGTCACTAGAGAGATTTTGGGAGTCACTGGTTGGATGAATAATATGGTTGGGCTCACTGAGTGATATGGGGGGCAGTCGGGGGAGTCACTGGCAGGGTTATGGGGGTAGGCGGGTAGGGAGTCAGGGACGAAGAATGGGGGGGTGGAGTTTTTGGAGGGGATATGGGGGTCCCAAAATTATATGGGGAGTCACTGTGAGGAATATGGGGGGGGGGGGGTCACTGGAGGGATATGGGGGTTGGGGGCTTCGTCATTGGAGGAATATGGGGTTTGTGTGTGGTTGTCTGGAGGGATATGGGGTCCCAAAAAAAATAATTTATGGGGGGGGTCACTGGAAGCATATAGGGGTCACTGGAGGGATGTGGGGTTTGCTCTAGTGATAGGGGGGTCATTGCACCAAAATTACATAGGGAGAATCATTGAAGTGATATGAGGGGTACTGGAGGGATATGGGGGGATACAGGGGAGGTCTCTGGAGAGGGATTATGGGGGGGGTCACTGGGGAGTATATGAAGAGGGTCATTGGAGGGGATATGGGGGTTGCTGGGAGAATAAGGAGGGGTCACTGGAAGGCGATGAGGTGGGGTCACAGGAGGGATCTTGGGGGGGGGGGGGGGGGGTCATTGGAGGGATAGGTGGGGGTCACCAAAATTATATGGGGTAGGGTCATGAAGTGATGGGGGGGGGGTAAGGTGTGGTGGGATCTGTCACCAAAATTACATGGGGGTCACTGAAGGGAGATGGTGGTAACTGAGGCAGTGTGTTATGGGGGGGGGGTCACTGAAGTGATATGTGGGTCACTGCAGGGAATTGGGGGGCTGCTGTAGTGAATATGGCGGGGGTCGCCAAAATTATATAAGGAGAGTCATTGAAGTGAGGGGGTACTGCGGTGGATATGAGGGAGTCATTGGAGGGATATGGGGGGTTGCTGGGAGGGATCAGGGGTCACTGGAGTGAAGGAGGGGTCACAGGAGGGATATTGGGGGTCACTGGAGCGATATGGGGGGTGGGCATTGGGGGTCACGGCAGTGATGGGGGGGGAGGGTCACTGGAGGTATATGGGGGAAGGTCACTGAAGTGATATGGGGGGGTCACTGCAGGGATAAGGGGTCACCAAAAATTATGTCAGGGTCACTGAAGTGACATGGGTGGGGGTTACTGAAGGGATATGGAGGTGTTTGTAGTGATATGGAGGAATAAAGGGGGGGGGGTCGCAAAAATGGGGGAGGGTCACTGGGGGGGGTCATTGGAGGGGCTTCTGTAGTCATATGGGGGGTCATGGGGATAAGGGGAGTCACTGGAGATGGGGGGGGGGTCACTGGAGTGAGATGAGGGGGGGGGGGAGTCACTGGAGAGTGAGATGGGTGGGGGGAGTCACTGGAGAGTGAGATGGGGGGTGGGGGGAGTCACTGGAGAGTGAGATGGGGCTCATTGGGGAGGGATATGTAAGGGTCTTAATGCCAGACATTGGTGGATGTAATATACAGTCAGACGACCTCTATGACTCCCGGGTGCGGTGGTGATGATGATGAAATCTCCCCGGACTCACCTTTCCCTCCCTTCCCTCCTTTCCCTTTCGGTGGCATGACACCTGGAGACACCGGAGCCGGAAGTGAGGAGGAGACATCAGCAGGGAAGCGTCAACACATCATCAACATCACGTGACTGGACTGTGTGTGGGAGGAGCCAGGCATCATTAGAGCCGTGCGAGATCATTGATACACCACAGAGCAGCCCTGTGCGCGCCTCCTCCGCCAGCGGCTCCTCCCCCTGCAGACATCTTCCAGTAACCCCTTCCTTACCCGCACCTTTCCACTAATGGAGTCTTCTAGAAGAGGGCGGGTCTGTGGGAGCTGCTGGTAACAAAGGAGTTCATGATTGGTGTGGTCAGGGCGGTACATGGGCTCCATGCTGTTCATGGCTCACCCAATGAGGAAAGCCTTTTGTAGGAAACTCCTCCCATGGTGTCCTGAGACTATCCTGGTACAAGTAATCGAGAGAATGTGCCAATGGAGAGAGCTTGAGGCCTGCAGGCCTGTTGTGGTGTGTGTCGGGGGGGGGGGGGGGGCGGCTTCACCTTTCCTCAACAATAACCTTTCAACTCCGCCTCCTCCACGCCCTTTCATCTGTACAATTGTTGAATGCAACCACCATACAATGTAGTGACACCAACACTGTGGAAGGAGTCCCTCAAAATCCCAGGTGTGTCTAGAGGTGGTCCTCAAACTGTAGCCGGGGACCAAATGCGGCCCTTTGCATGTCTTTATCGGCCCTCAAGACACTATTCCTCCCAATGACCTCCACAATGGGGCACCACTTATCCCTGACAGCAATGATGGGCCACTATTCCTCCCACTGACACCAACGATGGGCCACTATTCCACTGACACCAACGATGGGGCCACTATTCCCTCCCACTGATACCGAAAATGAGGAACTATTCCTCCCACTGACACCAACGATGGGGCACTATTCCTCCCACTGACACCAACGATGGGGCACTATTCCTCCCACTGACACCAACGATGGGGCACTATTCCTCCCACTGACACCAACGATGGGGCACTATTCCCTCCCACTGACACCAACGATGGGCCACTATTCTACTGACACCAACGATGGGCCCACTATTCCTCCCACTGATACCGAAAATGAGGAACTATTCCTCCCCACTGACACCAACGATGGGGCACTATTCCTCCCACTGACACCAACGATGGGGCACTATTCCTCCCACCGACACCAACGATGGGGCACTATTCCCTCCCACCGACACCAACGATGGGGCACTATTCCTCCCACCGACTGACACCAATGATGGGGCACTATTCCTCCCACTGACACCAACGATGGGCCACTATTTCCACTGACACCAACGATGGGGCACTATTCCTCCCCCCACTGATACTGAAAATGAGGCAACTATTCCTACCTGACACCACTGATGCACTATTCCGGGCCCACCGATGATGGGGGCACTATTCCTCCCACCGACACCAATGATGGGGCACTATTCCTCCCCCCACCGACACCAATGATGGGGCACATCTTTATTCCTCCTCCCACCGACACCAATGATGGGGCACTATTCCTCTCACCGACACCAATGATGGGGCACCTATTCCTCCCACCGATACCAATGGGGCACTATTCCTCCCCACCGACACCAATGATGGGGCACTATTCCTCCCACTGACACCATGATGGGGCACTATTCCTCCCACTGACACCACTGATGGGGCACTATTCCTCCACTGATACCAATGATGGGGCACTATTCCTCCCACGACACCAATGATGGGGCACTATTCCTCCCATTAATCCAATGATGGGATACTATTCCTCCCACTGACACCACTGATGGGGGAACTATTCCTCCCTGATACAATGATTCCCCCACTGACACCACTGATGGGGCACTATTCCTCCCCCCCACTGACACCAATGATGGGGCACTATTCCTCCCACTGATACCAATGATGGGGCACTATTCCTCCCACTGACACCAAGGATGGGGCACATATTCCTCCCCCCACTGACACCAACGATGGGCACTATTCCTCCCTACTGACACCAATGATGGGCCACTATTCCTCCCACTGACAACCAAGGATGAGGCCACTATTCCTCCCACTGACACCAATGATGGGCTACTATTCCTCCCACTGACACCAACTGACCAACGATGGGCACTATATTCCCACTGACACCAACGATGGGCCACTATTTCCCACTGACACCAACAATGGGCCACTATATTCCTCCCCACTGATACCGAAAATGATGGGGCACTATTCCTCCCACTGACTCCACTGATGGGGCACTATTCCTCCACTGATACCAATGATGGGGCACTATTCCTCCCCACTGACACCAACGATGGGGCACTATTCCTCCCACTGACACCAACGATGGGGCACTATTCCTCCCACTGACACCAACGATGGGGCACTATTCCTCCCACCGACACCAATGATGGGGCACTATTCCTCCCACCGACACCAACGATGGGGCACTATATTCCTCCCACCGACACCAACTGGATGGGGGCACTATTCCTCCCACCGACACCAATGATGGGGCACTATTCCTCCCACCGACACCAATGATGGGGCACTATTCCTCCCACTGACACCAACGATGGGCCACTATTTCCACTGGCACCAACGATGGGCCACTATTCCTCCCACTGATACTGAAAATGAGGCAACTATTCCTACCACTGACACCACTGATGGGGCACTATTCCTCCACTGATACCCAATGATTCCTCCCACTGACACCACTGATGGGGCACTATTCCTCCACTGATACCAATGATGGGGACACTATTCCTCCCCTGACACCAATGATGGGGCACTATTCCTCCACCTGACACCAATGATGGGGCACTATTCCTCCCACCGACACCAATGATGGGGCACTATTCCTCCCACTGACACCAATGATGGGGCACTATTCCTCCCCACGACACCATGGGGGGGGGGGGGGATGGGGCACTATTCCTCTCTCACCGACACCAATGATGGGGCACTATTCCTCCCACCGACACCAATGATGGGGCACTATTCCTCCCACCGACACCAATCATGGGGCACTATTCCTCCCACCGACACCAATGATGGGGCACTATTCCTCCCACTGACACCAATCATGGGGCACTATTCCTCCCACCGACACCAATGATGGGGGCACTATTCCTCCCACCTGACACCAATGATGGGGCACTATTCCTCCCACGATACCAATGATGGGGCACTATTCCTCCCACTGACACCAATGATGGGGCACTATTCCTCCCACTGACACCAACTGATGGGGAACTATTCCTCCCACTGATACCCAATGATGGGGAACTATTCCTCCACTGATACCAATGATGGGGGCACTATTCCCCCCATTAATACCAATGATGGGGACTACTATTCCTCCCACTGACACCACTGATGGGGAACTATTCCTCCACTGATACCAATATTCCTCCCACTGACACCAATGATGGGGGCACTATTCCTCCCACTGATACCAATGGATGGGGCACTATTCCTCCCACTGATACCAATGATGGGGCACTATTCCTCCCACTGATACCAATGATGGGACACTATTCCTGCCACTGACACACCAACGATGTTTGCACTATTCCTCCTACTGACACCAATGATGGGCCACTGTTCCTCCCACTGACATCAAGGATGGGGGCACTATTCCTCCCACTCACACCAATGATGGGCTACTATTCCTCCCACTGACACCAACGATGGGGCACTATTTCTCCCACTGAAACCAACAATGGGGCACTATTCCTCCCACTGACACCAACGATGGGCATTATTCCTCCACTGACACCAATGATGGGGCACTATTCCTCCTACTGATACCAATGATGGGGCACTATTCCTCCCACTGACACCAATGATGGGGCACTATTCCTCCCACTGACACCACTGATGGGGCACTATTCCTCCACTGATACCAATGATGGGACACTATTCCTCCACCGACACCAATGATGGGGCACTATTCCTCCCACCGACACCAATGATGGGGCACTATTCCTCCCACTGACACCAATGATGGGGCACTATTCCTCCCACCGACACCAATCATGGGGCACTATTCCTCTCACCGACACCAATGATGGGGCATCTATTCCTCCCACCGATACCAATGATGGGGCACTATTCCTCCCACCGACACCAATGATGGGGCACTATTCCTCCCACTGACACCACTGATGGGGAACTATTCCTCCCACTGATACCAATGATTCCTCCCACTGACACCACTGATGGGGCACTATTCCTCCACTATGATACCAATGATGGGCACTATTCCTCCCACTGATACCAATGATGGGGCACTATTCCTCCCACTGACATCAAGGATGGGACACTATTCCTGCCACTGACACCAACGATGGGGCACTATTCCTCCTACTGACACCAATGATGGGGCCACTGTTCCTCCCACTGACATCAAGGATGATGGGGCACTATTCCTCCCACTCACACCAATGATGGGCTACTATTCCTCCCACTGACACCAACGATGGGGCACTATTTCCTCCCACTGAAACCAACAATGGGGCACTATTCCTCCCACTGACACCAACGATGTGCCATTATTCCTCCCACTGACACCAATGATGGGGCACTATTCACAATGACACCAACAATGGGGCAGCACCATTCTTCCCACTGACTACCAATGATGGGGCACTATTCCTCCTACTGATACCAATGATGGGGCACTATTCCTCCCACTGACACTAATGATGGGGGCACTATTCCTCCCACTGACACCAATGATGGGGCACTATTCCTCCCACTGATACCAATGATGGGAGCACTATTCCTCCCACTGACACCAATGATGGGCACTATTCCTACCACTGACACCAATGATGGAGCACTATTCCTCCCACTGATACCAATGATGGGGCACTATTCCTCCCACTGACACCAATGATGGGGCGCTATTCCTCCCACTGATACCAATGATGGAGCACTATTCCTCCACTGATACCAATGATGGGGCACTATTCCTCCCACTGACACCAATGATGGGGCGCTATTCCTCCCACTGACACTAGCAATGGGGACAGTATTCCTCCACTGACACCCTGGGGCATGTTGTTGATGAGAGCATGTTTTCTACTCGACTATATTACCTATTTTTGTCTTTGGAAATAAGTGGTGTGGTGTCTCAGTTAATGCACAAGGCTCTCGAGTTCTTTCACATGTAGACACCAGCGATTAGGTTGTCTTGAGAGGGAAAGAGAACCAGCCAAAAAGTTACGACAACTTGTATATTTTAGGGTACTGCTCTCTCGGTGCTGCCCTCCACAATCCTCCTGCCCTAGACACTTTCCCACAGGTACACATTTGGCCAATGCAGCCTTGGTTCCTGGTGGAGACTAGTGGAGGCAACTGCAAACCCCAAAGGGGTTCATCCATAATGGTGAGATGAGGGAAGGGTAGGCAGGAGCAACCTGCATTGTGACGCACCCGCCATACCAGCTCATGTATGGAAACACCTCGGGGGTCCTTCTTCAAGAGCTCCAGAGAAGGCCGATTTGGACCTCCAGTTAGTGAAGACACTTCAGAGATCATAGCAGGTTTTGCGATGTTTGAAGCTCACCTGATCGTTAGACATGTGTAAGCCCAGAAGGTTTTTTTTTCCTTTCAGATGCATTCGTTCATTGAAGAATTTTGTTTTTTGACCCGATTTGTTTTCTGGCCAATTTGCACACAAATTTCCACAGACACCAAAATGTTGTGGAAAGCCACAAAGTACCAACAACATATTAATAGCCATGATTTTGGAATAGGATGTCCAGCAAGTTCATATAGGGTGTGATGCAGGGGCGGACTGACCATTTGGAAACCCAGGGTTCAGTAGGGGGCCCCATGAGACTTGCCCCTGGTACCTTTTTCATAGGCTTTTTTGAGTTTGGGCAAGGACACAGGGCCCCATGATCCCCTATTGCCCGGGGGCCCATGAGTTGTCAGTCCGCCCCTGGTGTGATGGTCAGATGTCCACCAACGTTTGCCAGTCTTGTATATGCTACTTCTTACAAGAAGATTGTTAGATATGGGCGGGTGAGGCTTGGTCTTCATGGTAGCATATATATTAATATTCATAGCATTTCCCCATAAGTGGATATTTTTCATGAAGATTGTGGAGGACTGTTTGCATGCGTATGTTGGGTTCCACAGTGCCAAGAGATACTTAAGTGACAACCCCACCAATTCTTCATCATGTCCTTAATTTATTTATTATAAAATTTT